TTAATCAGTCTAAAGTAAATGCAAGAAATAAATGCAGTAAGTAAATGACACCAGGGATTTTTATAGTGGTTCAAGGAACAGCTCGTTCCTCTAATCCACTGTTCCACTAAGCTTGTAAAAAATCCAATTACAAAGCCTTAGCCCTAGCACTTAAGAAGCTCTCCAAGTCTTCTTCAAGTCTAGATGTCTCCTGGGATGCACTTCCTTGCTTCCTTTAAGACTGGTCCTTTCGCTAAGCTTCCTTGAAGTATCACCACTTCACTACTCCAGTTACTTGGACGTCCTTCTCATTAGAGAGGAGTCCTTGTAAGAACATGGGTTTTCCAACTTGCTTCGTTACAAATGATGTGTAGTTGAAGAGCTTGAAGTGTTGAAGAACAATTGGAACTTTGCTCTTGTTGGGATATGAAGATAGAAAGATATTATCTTCCCAACGTCCGCCTTTCTTGTTGATGGAGATGAAGTTTTAATCTCAAGAAGGCTTTGTGCGTTTGAATACAGTTGATGGAGTGAAGTTGTAGCACAAAGTTAGAGCTAAATTTCAACAAAAGTTATCTCGTTGTTCTTTGAGGAGTATCTTTTATACCGAAGTTGTCTTCCCGTTGGAGGAGGAGGACAACTGCTTTAAATGCGCGAACAGTTGAATTGACCAGTAGGACCTAGTAAAGTTGGCAGGTTGCTATTTTGGGATAAAGTTATCCTGACATTTCAGCCAATCATCTGTATTTACTCTTTAGCGTACGGGGGTGCATTAAATGTGCATTTAATGCGTGTACTGTAGCTTTCCCGCTCAAGTCTCCTAGCCGTTGAAGGAATCTTCCGTTGGTTTCACCGGCTAAAGTAGATTCAAGAAAATTCACCAAGTGTCAGGCCTTCTGGTATTTTCAGCAGAGGGTCAACCAGAGAGGGTCTCGAACACTTCTGTTGGAATAAGCTACCAGAGGGTCCTTAGGTCTTCTATCAAGATGCGAGACAACAAAGGGTCTTGACAGATTCTGTTGCTACTACTGCTACTGCTGCTACTGCTGCTGCTACTGTTGCTACTGCTGCTACTACTGCTGCTACTACTGCTACTGCTGCTCCTCCTCCTGCCGCCGCCGCTGCCGCTGCTGCTGCCGCCGCCGCCGCTGCCGCCGCCGCTGCTGCCGCCGCCGCCACCACCACCACCACCACCACCACCGCCACCGCCACCGCCACCGCTACCGCTACCACCGCTACCACCGCCACCACCGCTACCACCGCTACTCCTACTGCTACTGCCACTGCTACTGCTACTGCTACTGCCACCACCGCTACCGCCACCACCACCACCACCACCACCACCGCCACTGCCACCGCTACCACCGCTACCACCGCTACCACCGCTACTCCTTCTGCTACTGCTACTGCTACTGCTACGGCTACTGCTACTGCTACCGCCATCACCACCGCCACCACCACCACCACCACAACCACCGCCACCGCCACCGCCACCACCGCCACCGCCACCGCCACCACCGCCACCGCCACCGCTACCGCTACCACCGCTACCACCGCTACTCCTACCGCTACTGCTACTGCTACTGCTACTGCTACTGCTACTGCTACTGCTGCTGCTACTACTACTACTACTACTTAAAAAATGAGCATACACAATTGAATTTCAACACATTAGAGAATTCAATTGAGCTTTTGAATTTTTTCGATGCTCATTTTGTAAGTTGCGTATGCTCATCTGATACTCAATAGAGAAGATTTGATACTCAGTGAAAACGTCTTGATATTCGCTCAACTAAAAAACTTATGATTTTCCTACTAATGCTCATTTTATAATTTAGGAATTCTCAATCGGTACTCAATTGCACGTTTTTAATACTTAGCAGAGGAGGTTTAATGCTCAATGAAAAACGTCTTAACGTTCAACTAACAAAGCTTATTATTTTCATATTAATGCTTATTTTATAAGCTACATATGCTCAATCGATACTGATGTTATGCTCATTTCTAAAATGACATATCAATGCATATTTCAAAAGTATCACATTACATTCGATTCACATATTGAACTTCACATGGATTGATTGTAGATATAATTTAATACGTTTCTATAAAAGAAAAATACAAAAAGAAAGTGAATTAGAAGATATGAAGTAGAGATTGTGATGTTCAATATTAGACTCCTAATACTCAACATAATAGGTCTAGTACTAATTAAAAATTCATTAATGCTCATTTAACAGAAAGCGTTATTTCCATCTCAATGAAAAATGTCGTGACGTCCAACTAACAAACCTAACAAACCTTACGATTTTCATACTTATGCACATTTTGAAAGTTGTGTATGCTCATAAAAACCCTTGTTGGGCCGGTTGTACGGTGCTCACCGTATAGCCAGATGTATGATATACTTATTCGTGATCTACGAGAACATCATGTGCGAGAACACAACTCAATTTTACTTCTTAGTAATTAATTTTAATTTAATGATTAAAAGCACAAAGTGATCATGTGTTACATTTAGTAAGAATGGGGTGCGCCTAGCAACCCCCTTAACTAACTTGTGTGCAATTTTTTTCCTCAAAAGCCCGATTCATGCTCATATTAAGTAAGGACAATTTTGTTCACCCTCACCAAAGAGAGTGATTTTCACCCCACCCTAATTGCTTGCCATGTGGCTTCCCATCTCCCTTTTTTCTTTAAATCAATTTATTTTTTTATTTATTGTTCAAATTTTATAGAAAAATATATCAGATTTAATAACTTTTTAAGATCTTTCCAATGACACCAATATTGTATATAAAATAGTTGAAAAAATCACATTTTTATAAATATTCATTTCTAAGTGTTTTTTTTTAATTTTTTATATGCAATATTGGTACCATATGAAAGATCTTAAAAAAATAAAAATTTTGATATATTTTTTAAACAATTGGATTAGAAATTAAAAATTTAAAACAATTGCCAAATAATTAAGAATTGCCTTGCCACATTGCAAGCAATTAGGATGGAGGGTGAACATCACCCTCTTTGGTGAGGGTGAACAAAATTGCACTCATATTAAGTGACCCGCAGAGTATTATTTACGGTGTATGTCAAAAGCCTCACATAGCCCCATCCTGTATTTTAAGTGACCAACCGAACCAGGTTCTAACTAGTTACAGTACATTTTAATTTATTTTAGGTTTAAATATCATTTCAGTTTCCTCTAATATATTACATTTTTTTGGTTTTTTATTTGTGAAAGTCTGAAACTTTGGGAACAACCCTCATTTCATCTAATTCTTTATCAAATTATTCAAAAAGTATTTAATTTTAGTTTTTAGAAGATTTTTAATACATATTTGAATATGTAAATAAGTAGTGTTTATATTATTTTAACTCTCAAATTAGTATAAAATAATTGTAATTTTTTAAGCAACAAACATTTTTTTTGTAAATAGGACTTAAAAAAACGGGTATTAGCCCTTAATAGGACTAAAATTAGCCCAAAATTCAACAATAAGAGTACAATCTCTTTATTCCCAAAATAGGACTAATATATGTCCCTTCTTCACATTTTACCCTCTTCCTATAATTTCCAATAGATTTATTTTATTAATAAGAAAATCATAGTTTTATTTTTAATAAAAATATAAAAAATAATAAATTATTTATAAATTAATAAAAACGTGAAAAAATTAATTAAAAAAAATTAAAATAATAATAAAATATTTTAAAAACTTTAAAAAGTCTAAAAAGTAATATAAAATACCTTAAAATATTAAAAAAATATGTAGGTCACTGCCAATGCGTTCTCTACCTCCTAGCACCACCAGCTCCGGTCGCCAGAGAAAAATGGCATCTTGTGTAAAAAATACCACATTTCTCTGAAAATGCCATGAAGATGATATTTTTACTCTTTGAAAATATTCAGCTTTCTCTTCAAAATTGCCATCACGATGACAATTTTTCCCCAACTTGGCAATCTTTTCCGGTGACCGGAGGTGGCGGTGCTGGAAGGTGGCTGAGGTGGTGGTTGAGGTCTGTATATTGTTTATTTATTTTTTACATTTTTTTTTATTTTTTATATATTTTATAATGATTGTTTAAAAGAATCTATTAGGATGGAAAGGGTAGAATATGAAGAGTTAGTTCTATTTTGGGAATTTAAACTTTAAACTCCTATTGTTGCAATTATCTTTTTATTTAGTTCTATATATTTAAGTAAATCTTCCTTAAAAAAATTCTAGTAGTGCATATTAAAAGCGTGAAAGAAGTATTTAATTGAAAGTTAATTTAAAATAATGTATATGAGTTATCGGGATTATTCATATTATAGGGACCTAAAACAAAATGTTAAAAGAATTAAAACTCTATTTATATATTACTACTTCCGTCCCAAAAAACTTTGCCATTTTCAAAACCTTGATCGACTATATTTTTTTATTGAAAATTATTTATAATATAAAAATTATATAAAAATGTTCTTTGTTAAAAGTGTTTTCATAAAAGTATAAAATTTATAATTTCCATAAGGGAAAAATAATGAAAATACCTCAAACTTTAAAGGGGTGTGAGGTAAGCACCCCAAACTTGCATATGTGATTTAAATACTCCAAACTTTATATAAATAGTAATTTTAGCGCCCTGCTCATCATTATTTTTTTCAAAAATGTCATTTTTTGTGTTAATTTCATAATTTAAAATATTTTAGCATTCGTGAACATACAATTAACATTCTAAACTTCCATTGTAAAATAAATAGTATTACCACCACTATATATAATTTCATAATTTTCAATTTGATATTTTAAATTATGCAATTAACATCATAAATATACATTTTTGAAACAAATGATATATGACTATACGTTAAAATAACATTTTACATAAAGTTTGGGGTATGTAAATTACATATGTAAGTTTGGAGTGTTTATCTCACACTCATTCATAGTTTAGGGTATTTTAATTATTTTTCCCATTCCATAATATTATATAGTAATAAAAATAATTTTTTTTGAAATCACACCTATTTGAATACACTTCCCGCAAAATTTGCAGAAATCAGAATAATCAGTAATCCATAGCCGCCCAAGGAAGCTAGAACATGGAGGTTCAGAACGCAGATGTGAACAGTCCCCAGACGTGTCCGAAAACGATGACCATTCGCCGGAACCCTTACCGACGTGCTCGGAATACGCCATCAACGAACAATCCGCCCTCATTTCTCAAGCCAAACCCAGTCCGTAGCAATAATATCTCTTCATTTCCCATTCAAGAGATTCTGTCTATTGATGTAAATGCAGACCCGAAGATAGATTCAGTAACGACAGAAGAACATCTACCAGAGAATCTCAAAGTCTATCTGAGAATCCGGCCGGGGGTCATTCAGAATTTTGCCGGAAAAAAGGCAAAAGCAGGAGCTTCAAATTTACAGGCAAAGAATGTTTGGCCTAAAAAACCTAGAGCAAAGATCAATTCGGACAAGAGGTTGAAGACAAACAGCAATACTTGCTTAGCTATGAACGATTCACACTCAGTAACGCTCGTACCACCCTCGAAATTGCAAGACACCAAGCGGACGAAATATGAGGTTTATGAAGGTTTCTCCCAAGTATTTTCTCCTGAGGCGTCTCAGGTATTTTGTTCTTACATTACACTTGAAGATTCTTGTATGCCGTTATTTGTAGCCATTGAATAATAAAATTCACTATGTACTAAACTGTATTGCAGAAGGAAGTATATGAGAAAATGGTGAATCCATTGGTTGATGATCTTCTCCGTGGAAAGAGTGGGATGCTGGCTGCTTTAGGTCCAAGTGGCTCTGGGAAGACACATACTATCTTTGGATCTGTGAAGGACCCCGGTATGGTCACACTTGCACTTCAACAACTGTTCTATGAAGATGGCGATAAGACTAAACCACCAAGGTTATAACTTCTATTCAGTTCATGGTACCCAATATGACCGCTTGAGATGCCTGGTATCTTTTTTTATTGTCACTGACCACTGTTATTATCAGGTGAATGCAGAAGTTAAGTTTCTATAATGCTCAAGGCATCTGAAACTTGTTTTGACAGGATTTGAAAATTTTGTTCTTGTTATATGGAGCTTTTACTATGAAAAATTATGTACTAATTTCGGTGTGTGTCGAAAGAGCAAGGATTCTCCTTTGCATTTTGAAAAAGTTTATGTTTAAAAAATAGGCCACAATCCACATCATCATACACAGAAGTTAAAATTTTATAATTCTTGATTAATGCAATTGAAACTCTAGTTGGTGGACACTTTTTTTTTAAAATCTTGTTCTGGCTATTTGGACGTTTTTTTTAAGTTCTGGTGTTTGCTGGAAGAAAAAGGATTCTCTACCACAATGCACAGTGGGCCTTCCAATGCTAGGTGCTAAATTTGTGGTAAAAAGAACAGGCCAATCACCGTTCAGTGTATCTATAAGTTTTAATTTGAATCTTGGAATGATTTGGCCTGTTTTTCTGCCCAAATCTAGTAGTGAGTCCACTGCTGCACAGACTAGAGGTAGTTATTGCTCTTGCTGAAGTATATTATTAAAATTCTTGGATATTCCATTTCTGCATTTATTACGGGTAAAATAGATGACATGTTTTAGGTATTGATGCTTTATAATGGACAGGATTTTCCACCTTTCAATGTTCGAAATTTGTTCAGAGAAAGGGAAGTCTGAGAAGATATTTGATTTATCCCAAGATAGTACTGATTTATGCATACAGCACACATCCATTAAAGGCTTGCATGAGGTTCCACACAAGTTTTCTCTACTCTTCATCCAATGTCGCTTCTTTTTCAATGTTAACTGCTAAGCAACTTCGTTTTTTGTTTTTATATAATTATTGTAGATCAGAGTTAATGACATACATCAGGCTGAAACCATAATAGGACGTGGTTTGTTAAGGCGCGCAACAGCCATGACAAATTCCAATAGTCAGTCTAGGTACACGGTTCAAACTAATAATCTAGTTTTCGAGCATTTATTCTTTGCATGCTTCATTTTCTGATATATGTTATATGTGTCTTTGTTTTGATATTTCATTGCAATATTATTACTACTACTACAATATCCATTCAGTCGCTCTCAATGCATAATAAACATTCGCTGTGGTCACAAGAAGGGCGATGGGAAAGTTAGTGAAGAGTCAAATGGCTCTATCTTGACAATAGTTGACCTTGCGGGGGCTGAAAGGGAAAAAAGGACGGGAAATAAGGTATCACTCTTATCTGACAACTTAATGGGTTAGTGTTCGCTAGAGGCCTAGAGTGCATCATAGATCTTAAAAATTCAAAAGTTGTTTTAAAACACCATAGCTAGGAATGTTTTATTTAATCTTGATATAAGTGACAAATGGACAAATCATGTGCCGTATTTTCTTAAATATCTTTCTTAAAGGAAATAATTTAGTTGCAATGACCTAACTAATAATATCGCATGAGCATGCTCCTGATAGAGAATGCTCTAATTTACAGAGTTTTGAGAGCTAGTGATGAAGGAAATAGATCTACGTAGCAATGGAAAGCTTTGTATAACAGAACAGACAGCGAGAATACAAAGGCAGTTAAAGAGTGCCAACTCTCCAAGTCCCAAGCTAATATGATAATCTCAGCGTACCTTTATTCTTCCCTCCTTTCCCCTTTTATAATATTCCTATCCTTAAGAGTCGGCCCAAGCTCATGAATTACATGGCGCGAAACCCTCACTTGTACACCATCACAATATTTAATACTACTCTCTTATTAGTCTTTGTTGTCCGGGTCTCTATTACCACTCCCCCTTTGACAACCACCTTGTCCTCAAGGTGGGTGGTTGGAAACAGCCCTGACCATCTGCTTCATCCTTGCGCCTCTCCCTTCCTAGTAACTCACTGTTTTTTGGATCTTGACCTTAAGTACTTGAGCCTTCATCCTTACTTTCTTCACAGCAGGAAGAAGCAGAAGCAAAGACATGGTGGCATAATGCTCCATAATGTTGTAAAGGTTAGAAACTTAGAATCTCCCAGCCACTGTCTCTCTTGCCTATCTTCCATTGTCTCATGATCAACAGCGCCTTCGTACATTACATAGTAAAATATGTTTGCTGCCTCAACTGTTGGTTTCCCGCGCTCTTTATAACCAATCATCAAATCAATCCAATGGTGAAGGTTTGAGCTAACATATTCACCTTCAAGAGCCTCCCTGTGCTTGCCTATGAATTCTTCAAGAGGACCCGTAGCCCATCGAAGGAGCACAACATCACCTATTCTCTCTCCATCTTGTTTTGCTCCAAAATGATACACATTTGAATTGATGATGAACTCTAGCATGTAAAAGAATTCAGGCATCAATTTCTTCTCATCACTAGTATTAGAAAGGCAATTTCTAAATGTTCCTTCGATGCTTTGAAAAAGTCTGCCGACATGATAAAACTTGCAACCCTCCAATCGTAATTGTTCTAGTGCTCCAACTGGTCTTGAAAGATCCCGGTAAGTAGATGATTTGTTCAAACCAAGAGTCTCCGATGAATAATCAGCCAAAACCCAAAGAAACCCATGATACTGAGTTAACTCACTTTAAGATCTTCCGGCCAGTGTGTTAACTGTAAAGAATCATCAAGTACTCAAAGTTTGTAATCTCTCTTCTCCTCGATCTTTCCCTAGAGATTTCTGCCACTTCCAACGCAACACATTGATCAACAAAAGAAGTAATGCTAGTCTCGTCCCTGTATCCTTTTGGATACATTGATTCATTTCTGTTTGTAATGATCAAGCTGCCAGCATCCCTTGCATCCTTGGATATGATCCATCTTCTATGGTGCTTGATATTGTCAGGTTCTTTTGAGGTATATTTCCACAAAATGCACTTATGCTATCAATAGCCTTTCCCTTTTCAGAAACAAGAGCGGAACTGCCAGGCCACTCAAGTAGTTTTTGTTTCTGGCTTCCACCTTCCTGTTCAGCCTTATGCAGATCAAGCCTACCAAAAGAGTCAATGTTTTTAAAAACATATGATCCTCCAGTACCTTCAACTAAAATTTCATCAGAGAATTGCGAGAATGATAGATCACTGATATTACTGATTCAGAATTCACACAAACAATCGAAGAACACACAGAACAATCTTTATTCAACAAACGAGATGTACACAAGCTTTAGACAATTCGAGATGCCCAATCTCCTAGCCCAGTTCTAGCCAAAATAACAGACTGCTCTAGCTAGCTTATTCAACTTCTATTTATAGTAACAGTCCACGCAGGGACCTCACTAACTAACTAACAGACTAGTTAGTTAATCGTTATTATTAACTGCCCTATTCTTCCTCCTTTTATAGACTTTATTGTAAAACTGAACCGCTTGCTTTACTCCTTGTCTATCATTACTCCCTCCCTGGAAATTCACCTTGTCCTCAAGGTGAAGCTCTGGAAATTGTTCCTTAGAGTGCTAACAAAGGTTCCCAGGAGTCTTCAAATCTTGGCAGATTGCTCCAGTGCACCAACACTTCCACATTCCCCTCATTGTCAACCCTTGTATCCAAAATATCTTCTGGCACTACCTGTAGTTCCAATTCCTCACTGAGTTAATTGGGTAGAGGCTGGTAAAAAGTAGTAGGGGAGATAGCCTTTTTGAGTAATGATATATGGAAAACTGGATGGATTTTACTGTCATCTGGTAATTTGAGCTTAAAAGCTACTGAACTCAGTTTGTCAATTATCTCAAAGGGGCCATAATATCTGGGGCTGAGCTTTTGATTTATTCTTTTAGCTAAACTTCTTAGCTTGTAAGGTTGTATCTTCAAGTAAACCTTCTCTCCCACCTCCAACTGAACTTCTCTCTTGTGCTTATTGGCCTGCTGTCTCATCTGATTCTGGGCATTAGCCAAATTCTCTTTTAACTCATCCAAAATTATATTTCTCTGGGCTGTCAACTTGGAAACTTCTTCTACAACAGTTAGAGTTACATCCCCTCTAATTACTGCAGGTGGATCTTGTCCAAATAGAGCTTTGTAAGGAGTAATTTTCAAAGCAGCATGATAATTGGTATTATACCAATACTCAGCCCAATGTAGCCATTGAACCCATTTCTTAGGTTTTCTCCTAGTCAGACAGCGTAGATAGGTTTCAAGGCATCTGTTAACCACCTCAGTCTGGCCATCAGTCTGAGGATGGTAAGCAGTACTGTATTTCAACTGAGTCCCAACCAACTTAAAGAGCTCTGACCAAAATGTACTTAAGAATACACTGTCTCTGTCACTAACTATGGTTTTAGGAAAACCATGTAATCTGACAATCTCCTTGATGAATACATCTGCCACCTCCTTAGCATTGTATGGATGTGATAAAGCCACAAAATGGGCATACTTGGTCAGTCTGTCCACAATGACCAAAATAGTATCCTTCCCTTTTGATTTAGGCAGGCCACCAATAAAATCCATGCTAATGTCAGTCCAAATGCTATTAGGAATTGGTAGGGGCTGTAACAACCCTACCGGTTTGAGAGCCTGATACTTGTTTGTCTGACATATCTCACATTCCTCCACATACCTCTTAATATCCTTCCTCATACCCTGCCAAAAGAAAAGATTAGAAACCCTTTTCATGGTTCTAAAATACCCAGAATGTCCTCCAACAGCAGATTCATGACACTCCTTCAGTATTTGGGGTATTCTGGGAGATCCTTTTGGTAATACCAGCCTGTTGTTGTAATAAAGTAATCCTTTCCTCATCTGAAACTCAGTGTGCAGATCTGGATGTGAAATCACCTTCTGAATCAATTCTATACATTTAGGATCTAACTCCAATTCTTCTTCCAATCCCTCTCATTCCTGGCATGTCACAATAGAGAGGGATTTTAGTATAGGTTTCCTGGATAAGGCATCAACAGCTCTGTTCTCAATCCCAGGTCTGTATTTGATAGTGAAATTATATCCCAATAGCTTTGAAGTCCATTTTTGATGCTCTTCCCCCATTAATCTCTGCTCAGTTAAGAATTTTAAGCTTTTCTGATCAGTCAGGATCTCAAATGTTCTGCCCAACAGATAGGGACTGCCAGTACTATGGCCAAAAGCTCCCTGTTAGGGACCTGAACACTACCAAGAATTAGAGCCTTATTAAGTCATTTTAGTTTTGTTCAATAATAGGGTTTATGCCCTACAACTTATTAGAAGTGGTCTGGCCCATTAGAAATAGAATAAATAAGGGTGAGTGGGGATTAGATGGAGGGGCAGAACTTGGGATCAGGACTGGGATATTGGGAGTGAGAGACCACCCGAAGAGTCTCAAACCTTTCCTTTCGTGACTTTCTGTATTCCTTCACTAAATTTTCATTAATAAACTACTACTTTCTTCTTGGATTCTTCAGTTACTTATCATTGGTATCAGAGACATTGACAAAAGCCTTACCTGCGCATGGTCTTGACCCGATCGAGAATGGAGCAACGTGTGGAAAATCTGGAAAACACCCTAGCGGAAGTGAGAACTGCCGTGAATGAACTGCTTGGCTTGCGTGAGACCGTGGCCGAATTGAAGAATATCATGTTACAGGGTGACCGCCATAAGAGAAGAGGACGATCAACCACAAACCGTCGTCGCCATACTTCAGCAAGCGTGAGCTCCTCTAGTTCTGAAGGTAAATCTCATGAAACTCACTCAGTTTCACGCAGCCCTTATCAGAAGAGAATCAGCGACCGTGTATATACTGGAAGAAAGGTCGATTTACCACTTTTTAGTGGAGATGATGCTTATGGATGGCTGATTAGGGTTGAGCGCTATTTCAAACTCAACCATGTGGCAGAAGAGGATAAAGTAGAAATAATCTTGATAGCCATGGCCGGAAAAGCTCTGAACTGGTACCAATGGTGGGATGAACAGACTGATGACCATTCTTGGGTTAACTTCAAAGATGCTTTGTTCCGGCGTTTTCAACCTGCCTTAGTGTAGAATCCGTTTGGTCCTATGCTCAGTATTAGGCAAACTGGTTCTGTAATGGAATATCGGGATCACTTTGAAATGGTTGTAGCTCCTCTCAAACTTGCTGACCAAGGGATGTTAAAAGGAGTGTTTCTCAATGGCCTTAAAAAAGAAATTAGCACGGAACTGAAGTTGCACCAGACCAGTGGGTTAACTGAACTGATGGACAAGGCTTTGTTGTTGGAGCAGAAGAATAAGGTGTGGACAGGGAAAGAAAATAAAGAAGAAGACAACATAGGTTGGAAGGAACAGGGAGGAAAAATGGTTAGA